CGCCTCAAGGAAAAGATTAAATCACCAGGATAATTGGTCATTATGAGCACCTCAAGGAAAAGATTAAATCACCTGGATTATTGGTCATTGTGAGCACCTCAAGGGCAGGATTAGGCCACGGTCACTGAGATGTTCAGAGACTGTCCATTGACTAATTCTAAACATATCTGTGAGGTGAAGTTAGAAATTAGGTTATGTTGATAGCCCGTGTCACACTTGACAATATAATACATACTGAACTTCAGAAAATCCACCCTCCTCAGTTTGCTGGCCATTGTTAAGATAAACAATTCCTACTAGTTGATCAGTTGGTGATGAACAGAAACACGTGGGAATGACATGGTATTGGGCACAGCCACTATATCAGACTCGCCCACGGTGGGGGTGGCACTGTATCAGACACACCCACAGTGGAAATGACAGTGTATTAGACACACCCACAACTGGAGTGACACTGTAATCAGACACACCCACAGTGGGAATGACAGTGTATCAGACACGCCCACAGCTGGAATGGTATTCTATTAGACACACCCACAGTGGGAGTGACACTGTATCAGACACGCCCATAATGGGAGTGACACTGTATCGGACACGCCCACTGTGGGAATGATAGTGTATTAGACACACCCACAGTGGGAGTGACACTGTATCAAACACACCCACAGTGGGAATGACAGTGTATTTGACACGCCCACAGCGATCAGTGTTTTTCCTTCTGCAGATCTAGTTGGTCCCAGTTAAGGCTGCACACCTGAGTGAGAAAGACAGGGCCTGGTAAGTGTGTGGCAGTGATGCTGGGTCCTGGAGCCCCAGTGGAGGTCAGGGTGATGATCATCTGGGGCTCAGAGACCAGAGGAGAGTCAGGCTGCCCAGACGTGTCTTATCCAGAGATCAGGCACAGTCAATCTCCCAGCCCTCTCCCAGTGTGAAGCAGGAGCCCTGATTCCAGCAGAGACCCACCACTGCCCGACTGTGACTGCTGATGACAAAATAACCAGCAGAGAGAAGGTACCTGTCAGGCCTGTTTGATAGCCTGCCAGTGCACCTGCTGCAGAAAGCCTGCAGTCGCCTGGCGGTAACCTCACGACATTGGCTGTGTCCCAAATGCCTCACTCAGCCCTAATCCTTTCCTGCAGGACCACTCTGTTATGATGTAGAGCAGGTGTGCACTTCAAGTGCCTGAGCATTCAAGGTGCACTGAGACACCCTCGCACTATAGCTCCCGGTCACAATAAAGTAAACCCGGCAACACCTCTCTCTGTTTATTCAAAGCTTTGTGCTGTTGAATGCTTTGTCTCTCCATACAAAATACACCACAGGTAAACTAATATTCACCCGTTGAAATGGGTTAACACAATAATAGCGTTATGTCAACGCTTGGCAGCAAGAATACATGGGAATCTAAAGAGAAATTCTTTTTACGTAAAATATTATGAGTTTTAAAACTGTAAAAAAGTGAAATGATACTAACAGGTGAGTATTTCATTCCCCACGGAAACTTCTCTCCGCTGTGGTAGGCTGGAGCATGAAACGTCGGCTCCGATGCGGACTTCAGAGAAGGGCACACTGGGGGCGCTCGTGAGCACCCTTGTGACACACAGACGAGGAACGGGGACACCCTCAGCCCTTGCAGATCCGAGTGGGAACGCGCACAGGAAGGCCACGAGACGCAGGTTTGGATACCGGGACTGGGCCTATCTTTGGGAGCTGGGTGCCAAGGTTTTCATGTCCAGGATACAATGCAGTTGTACTACAGCTGTAGTTGTAGTGTGGTTTATGTGCTACTGTACCGACCTCGGCACCCTCTGACACGCTAGTGCCTTGCGTCGGGCCCGTCAGGTCACTCGAGACTGGACAGGTGAAAGCCATGGCACTCCCCGCCAGCCCCTAGGAGTCACAGGGTCCCGCTGCAGTGTGGAAAACCCACCACCGGGTGGCGCTAACGTCCGCGCAGGAGAATCATTGAAACGAGAGCAGGACCTCCTTTCCGAAGCGACGCTGTGCTGCTGCAGTGTTTTTTATTATATCACCAGTGTCAGGGCTGGTGTGTGTGGACGCAGTCTGACCACAGCACTGACACACACTGGAGGGACAGACCAGTGTCTCACTGTGACTGGTCACTGAGGGCTGGTGTGGGTGGACAGTCTGAGCACAGCACTGAGACACACTGGAGGGACAGTGTCTCACTGTGACTGGTCACTGAGGGCTGGTGTGTGTGGACAGTCTGACCACTGCACTGACACACTGGAGACACAGTGTCTCACTGTGACCGGTCACTCAGGACTGGCGAGTGGACACTGCAAGTCAGAGGACAGACGTCATGTAAAACAGACCTCAGAGGAGATATGGACATACACAGCACACACACTGAGCATCAGCAAACACATTTTAGTAATCTTTTATTAATACGTGTCACTTCAACACTATGTTCTCACTCGTTTCCTTCATCTTTATCATCTTAAGTTATTTTTGCTGTAAGACTCCTTATATCATTACATCATGTTATAGCATTAAATTAAAATTCATTTAGGTTCAAAGTCTAGGGATCATTCTTGCTCAAGTATACTGTACAGTATCTCAAACAACTTCAAAGAAAAAAAGGTTTCTAAAACAATAAAAAAAACTTTCTCAGTGCAGTGTTAATGTCCTGTAGTGTCCAGTCAGTGTGTCTGTACTGTATTAACCCCTCTCTCTCAGTGCAGTGTTAATGTCCTG